CCCCCTGCCGCCCACTGCAGCAGCAGCCGCCCCGACTGGACCAGTGGTGGTGGTTGGTGTAGGGAGCGGTTTCGCAGCTGCTGCAGCCGTTGGGTTTGCAGCTGCAGCTTGTGGGTTATCATCAGAATCGTCGTCTCCTTCTTGGTCTGCCGGCCCGGGTTCGGGAGGGGCAATGGCCGGGGTCTGGCCGCTGGGCTGTTGAGGGAGGACCTGAGGCTGAGCTTCAACCTGGTCGAGGAGCCTGGCCGAGTGGACGATGGTCAGGACATTGGAGACAACGAGGAAGAGAACTAGGGTTAGGCTCAAAGATTTTGCCATTGTTTGCTCGTTTGAATGAGAAGATGCGATGCTGAGTTGTGTGGTTTGAAGGTTTAGGCGTATGCCGCTTATATATATATATATATGCAAAGTTTCAGGGAATTTATTGATTATATTAATGCATCGATTATCGGTGGAAGCAGAGAGTGGAGTTGTTGCTTCTCGTTATATCAATTTTTTTTATTTGTAAAGAAGGGCATCTTTTGCTTTAGTTGATGATATTATTGAACCAAACCTCTAATCTTCTAACTAAATCACCCATATAATAATATGATTTACTTGTCTTTTTTTTTTTAAAAGTCGTTTTTGCAAATCTCATACGTATAAAATGTTTGTGATTTCAGGGTTCGTGCGATTTTGATTGTTATAAACTTCATTTCTCAATGAAAAAGTCCTTTGGAGAAACTGTTATATTATTCTTGAATTTAAGAAAAAGAACGGAATATACTGTTGAAGACAAGAATGTGATTGAGGATGATCATGAGTTGTTCGAGAATATATATGCAGTTGTGAGGACCAAAATAATATGCTCACTCACGGTATATTCACAAAGTATAGAGACCAAAGCTAACTTACCTTATGAAGAGTATACGAACATAGAGAATCAAGGAGCATTCAAGATATCTCTTAGACATTGAGGAGTTTAAGGGATTGATGAAATATATGAGGAGAACATCAAGATTCTTTCCTTTCTCCTTATAGCCGTTGACCCATTTTTCCATATTCATCTAATCTTCATTGATCTATTTTCTTTGATTACGCTATCATTATACATTAGAATATTTTGACTTTATTTTATGGTCTTGTGACCGTTGCACCTTGTATATATATATATGGTTGTATATTCGTATAGGACATAACACGAATAAGGGGATTAAGTCCCATTTGCTCATCATTCTTGGTCATTATTCTTTATCATCTCCATTTGCTCTCTCTTTGGTTTTGGCTACATTTTCCTTCGTTCTTCATGTCCAAAACACACCAAATGTATTAGAAATCTTCATGGTATCAGAGCATAAGGTCTAGAGTACCTTGTCTCTTTCATTCCGCTGCGAAATCGAAGTATATTCCCTCTCGTTTTGAGTATAACGAAGAGGAGCCTACTCGATTATATTTTTTCAGATTTTTTTTTATCCCTATTCGGCCATTCATTCAAGCCAAAAGGAGAATTTTCTTCAAGTGAACCGTTGGTCATTCAATCAAACCACGTTTCACCATCTTTTCTTTTCTCTCGGTCATTTCATTATAAACCGAAAAAAAAATCATTTACTCTATCCTTTCATCACGAAAATCATGTGTGATTATTGGGATAGTGATAGTGATTATGAAGAGGCAGAGTTTTATGAGGAACCGGAATACAGAGAGCATTGGGATGTCGAGGACGTTCTAGCAAAAATACCAAAGTCCCTGAGAGAGACGTTGGTGCAAAACGCCAATGCACACAACATTGAGTTAAGTGTTTATATTCTTGAAGATTTATTTCGAACTAACGAATTTTTTGACATGTTGCAAAAAGCACAGGTTAAAAGCAAAGAAAATTTATCTGACGACGTTGAAGAGCCTCACTCACACGAAGAAGGCCTAGACAACACCGAGCACATGGTTGTTCCAATGGTTGAAGAGATACAAACCGAGAATATACACCATTACAAGGGGAATGTTCAGATGATGTAACCTCGGATGAAGAAAGGAGTCCAATAGATGTGATGATAAATGACCTCACAATGGAGGAAAAGAATCCTGAAAAAGAGGCATCACACACATCCACACTTCATCATTCGAGGATACAAAGGCATCTGAACATTCCTTTCAAATGGCAAAATAATCGAGTTGGTACTTTTTTCTTTTCTCCCATCTCTTTAGAAATTTGTTTTCCAAGTGATATGTTTGGTTTTGTTAGTATGTTTGGACAGGAAATACAAAAATTAATTCCGAAAATTTATGGCGAAGAGAAGATCACGAGTGAGGGGGAATGGCATGCTACACTCGTATGCTTCTCTACCCAAAAGAAAACAACGCAAGCATTCGAAGAACCAAATGAAACGATATTACCTATGAGTTTCAACAACTCTAGGTTTGAAAATAAAATCTAACTTAGGACATATGGGAAGATTGAAACAAAAAGAACCACCGTGGAAGGAGTTTGGACACATGAAGAACAAACAATGCATTCTTCTCGCAAGATTAGCTTTCCGAAATTCATCCAAGCTAATCTTGAGGGGGAATGTTGAAGACAAGAATGTGATTGAGGATGATCATGAGTTGTTCGAGAATATATATGCAGTTGTGAGGACCAAAATAATATGCTCACTCACGGTATATTCACAAAGTATAGAGACCAAAGCTAACTTACCTTATGAAGAGTATACGAACATAGAGAATCAAGGAGCATTCAAGATATCTCTTAGACATTGAGGAGTTTAAGGGATTGATGAAATATATGAGGAGAACATCAAGATTCTTTCCTTTCTCCTTATAGCCGTTGACCCATTTTTCCATATTCATCTAATCTTCATTGATCTATTTTCTTTGATTACGCTATCATTATACATTAGAATATTTTGACTTTATTTTATGGTCTTGTGACCGTTGCACCTTGTATATATATATATGGTTGTATATTCGTATAGGACATAACACGAATAAGGGGATTAAGTCCCATTTGCTCATCATTCTTGGTCATTATTCTTTATCATCTCCATTTGCTCTCTCTTTGGTTTTGGCTACATTTTCCTTCGTTCTTCATGTCCAAAACACACCAAATATATTAGAAATCTTCATATACATAATTTCTTCATACAGTTATCTAATTTATATGGAAGATATAAATCGTCCGATTTATACAGGATATGATTAATTTAACCATAAATATATCAAAGCTAATTTAGATTTAGTCATATTCAAATATGATTTTAACGAAAATAGTTTTTGTGTGTGTGTGTTAAATACGTAGATGTGTGATTGTGATATGAGATATAAAATCAAATGATGAGAATTCCTTTTATAAAACTATGATGTGTCACAACTAACTAAGGGTTTGTATATATCCTGCATATAGTCAACTTAGATAATTATAAATCGGTCTATTTTTTGTCAAACTAGAAGAGTATTTAGAAAGGGGGAATGGTAATTTTTTTTCTTTATAAATTTGGCAAACTAGAAAAAATGCGTCCATCATTTTTTAGTTAAATAAAATATGATTGATTTTATAATTAGACTATAAAATATATCTTTTCTCCGTTATTTAAAATTTACTCTATAATTGATATACACTAGGTAATATCCCTAAACATATACTTAAATATTAATATAAATTATATAGTCGAATAAAGATGAATATTTAAAATTTACTCAATAAAAATCAATGATTATAATTTGATTAGACCATTTGCTTGTTGTTTTAGTAAAACAAATAAATATTAAAACTAAATCGGTCAAATATAAATATTTAACTCGGTATCATTAATCGATTTTGTATACCAATTTTTTATCTAAAATTTCATATTGTTTCATATTTGTGACCAAATATAAAATTATATATATTTTTTAATAAATAGAGTATTTAATGATAATTTTTGGATTTCATGATATATTAAAATCAAATAAAAAATTTTCGATAAAATTAATTGGTTTGTTCCGGATGATATTTAGAGTTTCAAATAAAACTTCATTTGGCAGACCCAAACAGATTCTAATAGGATTTATCTCGGATAATTTTTTATTCATCTTCAAGATTCGATTCCATAAATTTTTAAAAATTTTCAAAATAAAGGATTCAGTGATATATATGTCTTTACTCAATCAAATTTATATTTTACATTACATCCTCCTAAAATCTTAATAGTTTCTACGGTTTTTGTTAGATTTATTTTAAATTCATAAAATTTAACGAAAAAATCAATAGAAAAACTATTTCTCATATCTTGACGATATTTATTAAAAATCAAAACGTTAATAATCATAGTGAAATTTATGTAATTATTTGACATTTTTTAAGTATACATATCTAAGTACAAAGCATCATCCAACACGTTATAAAATGTTTCTTTGGCTGATCATTGCGGTGTCAACCGATCCTGTACATGAAACCAATATAGTTTTATCTATTAAATTAACCTTTTATAAAAATAATGAAAATACAATAAAGCTAAATTTGTTTTCAGTTTTGTTCACAGTTTAGAGATACCTCGCTATTGTGGAATTACGAAAATAACCATAGATACACAAACGTACATATTTAGATAGGCATTATATCAAAAATACCCTTAAAATTGCTATTTCTACTTCAAGACCTACCCTGGTCACATGTGACCAATGTGACCGAAATATAGTATGGTCACATTTTGATTTTTATCGATTATAACGTTAAATTTATGGTGATCACACTAATTCATTATGTTCATACCTTGTATATCTTACTAATCATTTGATTAAAACATCATAAATTTAACGTTATGAACAATGAGATCAATATGTGACCACACTATATTTCGGTCACATTGGTCACATGGTCACAAGGGTAGGTCTTGAAGTAGAAATAGCAAATTAAGGGTATTTTTGATAATGCCCCATTTAGATATTAAATTTTAGTAAAAAAATAGAAAAATAATCTGTAAAGAAACAAATATAATATACATATAAATATATTACAAAAGCAATTGACTATATCGAAATATTATAAGAATCGAGATTAAAAAAATAATTTTACCAAACAAATTAAAATCGGATTACAAACCTGAACAAATCGGACTCCGTCTTTGAACGTGGACTGAAAGTAAACGATTGATATTTATCATGAACGTGGACTGAAAGTACTGCCATTTATAGTTTAGATTCATTAGTTGAAATAGTTATTATTCAATAAATTCAAAACTGACTTTTAACTAAATTAACTATACATTAATAAAGTTATGTATTACGGATATAAAGCTCAGACCCGTTATAGTCAACAGGTGCGGTTCAAGCCCATTTTGTTTTCTAAATAGAAGCCCAGCTGGAGAGAGAGTGATAAGATGTTGAAGATAATCGATCTGTT